TGAAGACACGTTGTAGCATCATCCCTAAACAACCTGCACATGTCACCAACATGGTATATCTTAGCCCTTTGTGAAGAACATCATGAAGACACACTGTAATAAATGTGACTTCAAAAAGACAATAAAGACATAAAATATCACATAGTCCTCAGGCAAAAGAATCAAACACGCTATGTCATATGTGCTGTCATGGGCTGAATTGTGTACACCAAAAATTCATATATTGAAATCCTAACTCCCAGTATCTCAAAATGTGACTGTATTTGGAGACAGGGTCTTTAAAGAAGTAATTAAGTTAAAATGAGCTAATTAGTGTGGGCCTTAATCCAATACAACTAGTATACTTACAAGAAGAGGAGATTAGGACACTGACAAATGCACAAAAATTACCATGTGAAGACATAATAAGATGGTCATCTACAGGCCTCAGAAAAAACCAATCCTACCAATATCTTGATTTCAGTCTTCTAGCCTCCAGAATTGCAAGAAAATAAATTTCTGTTGCTTAAGCCTACCCAGTCTATGATACTTTATGTCAGCCCGACCTGACTTACACAGTCATCAAATAGATCATGCACTCATAGTATTGCATGATACATAGTTGTCAGGAATATTACCTATAATATAGCATTTTACATAGTTATAAGAAATATGTAAACAGTATATCCTCATCCATTGTCAAGAACATGATGAAACATAATATAGCTTCATACACAGTTGTCAAAGAGATGGCCCAAAAATAGTTTAGCATCATTTTGGTTGTCAGGGAGATGATTCAGATAGGTGTGGCACATGTGTTATCAGAAAGGTGTCACTCAGAGTAGTGTCATATGTGGTTATCAAGGTGATGATAAAGCCATAATTTTGTGTCATATGAGGATACCATGGATTTGAGACAGACATATTATGTCACAGGTGTTTATCAAGAAAATGAGGCTGACATATCACAGTATCATAAATAGTAGTCAGGGAGGAAACAAAAAAATACTGTATCATCACACTATGTTTTCCAAATGACACAGATGTATCATAATACTGTACATGTTTGTTCTAGAGCTGAATTGTATATAGTACACATGGTAACCATGAACATGATGGCAGAAATAATATAAAGACAGATACTATAAAGTCTTACAAGGTTGTTAAAAAGGTGATATAGTAATAGTATGGCATCACACGAAATTGTCCAGATTTCACTTAATGTAACATCATGGATGGCTGTCTAGAACATGATGCATATATTAGGTAGCATCATACATGACTATCAAGAAATATAAGTATAGCATAGCTTTATACATGGTTGTGAAGGAAATGATGCAAACATATTATAGCATCACACATGTTTCAGGATGACAAAAAAAATACCATCTTTGTCAGGGAGATAATGCAGACATAGTGAAGAGTCACATGTGGGTAACAGAATATATGCAGACACAATGTAACATTTAGTAGCTAATTTTATGTGTCAACTTGACTGGATTAATAGATACCAGATAGCTAGTAAAACATCATTTCTGAGTGTCTGTGACGGTGTTAGTAAAAAAAAAAAAAAAAGATATCCTCTCCCCAATGTGGGTGGGCATCGTCCAATTCATTAAGGATTCAAATATAACAAAAAGGCAGAGAAAAGGTGAATTTCTTCTTGCTTCTGGAGCTGGGGCATCCATCTTTTCTGCTCTTTGGTCATCGGAACTCCTGGTACAAAGACCCCTAACGTCTGAGACTTACACCAGTGTCCTCTCTGGGTTCTCAAGTCTTTAGCCTTGGATTAAGAGTTGCAGCATTGGATACCCCTGGCTCTTAGGACTTTAGACTTGGATTGAATTCCACCACTAACTTCCTGGTTCTCCAGATTGCAGCTAGCATATGGTGAGACTTCTTATTCTCCATAATTACATGATCCAATTCCTATAACAAATCTCTCTGAAATTATATATATACATATATAATATATGTATATATACATATATATAATTTCACAGGAGTTTATCATATATATATCCATATGTATATCTCCCATTGGGTCTGTTTTTCTTGAGAAGAATCCTGACTAATACAAGCATCATCATGCATAGTTGTCAGGGAGATGATGTAACCATAGTGCGCCATCATAAATGGAGGTCCATGAGATGAAATACTTTATCATCACACAAAGTTGTCAACACAGGCAGTTGAACATCATACATGCTCACAATGGAGATGATATATAACACAGCATCATATATATTACTCGAAGACATAACATAACTTAGTACTATGTCATAAGCAGATTTCAAAAAGATGATCCAAATATAATGTAGGTTCATATACTATTCTAAAGGAGGATATACAGATATAGCAAACCCTGCAGGTATTTTTGCCAGAAAAATTAGGTAGAGATATTATAGCATCGTATATAGATTTCTAAGAAATGACTCAGACATGGTATATAATATAATACATGGTTACAAAAAATTGGATAAGATAGAGCATAACATCCTTCATGATCATAAAGGGGACAACAAAGTCAGTATGAATTAAAACATGGTGGACAGCTGTATGACACAGACACAATATGGTATGTTCATTAGAGGAATAATATAGACTTGATGTAGCTTCATACAAGGCCATCAGGTAAATATAGATATAGATAGATGTAGCGTAGCATAACCTGTGGTCTTCCGAAAGTTGAAACACAGTGTTGCATCACACCTTGTTATCAAGGTGATGACTCATAGAATAGCATCACATGTGGTGCGTAAAGTCATAAGATGACAGAAACTTAGTATGGCATCACATATGCTTGCCAAGGAGATGATACATACATATCATAGTATTATGTGGCTTTCAAGGATATTGTGTAAACATAGTGTTGTATAAAATAGAAATTGTCAGAGAGATGAAGTAGAAATTGTGTAGTGTTACACATGTTTGTCAGGAATATGCTGCATAGAGTAGCATCATAAGTATTTGTGAAGAAAATAGCACAGACCTAATAAATCATCATATGTTATTGTCAAAGAGCTGGCACAGAATACTGTATGATGTATGATATGTAGATTCACACATGTAATAATGTATGATATAATATCATACGTGGTCGTCATGAGGATGACTTGTTCAATATTATAAAATGTTATCCAGTACATGATATATGCATAGTACACCAATACAGATAGTTGTCAATGAGATAACACATACATCATATGGCATTCAATGTGGTTTTCAATGAGATGACACAGTGTAGCAACATATATATGGCAGCAAGATGACTCATAGCTTTGTACCATACATGGTTATCAAGGATACACTGCTGATATAGTATACAACATGTGACAATCAAGGAGATGATGCAGGTACATGGTAACATTACTCATGGTTTTTAGGAAGGTGATGCAAGTATAGTGTATTATCACACATGGTCATCAAAATAATGATACAGACACTTTTGCATCTATCTGATCATCAAAGAAATGATGCACATATAATGTAATATCTTACTTGGTGATTAGTATATAGCATAGACATAGTATATTATCATGTGTTATCATTGTGGTGTCATAAGTAGTTATCAAAGATATCAGGCAAATTTGGCCTAGCATCAACTGTTATTTGTGTTTGTTTGTTTGTTGAAGTTGGGGTATTGCTTTGTCATCCAGGCTGGAGGACAATGACACAATCACAGCTCTCTGCAGCCTCAGTTACCTAGGTTCAAGCAATCCTTCCACCTCAGCTTCCCGAGCAGCTGGAACTATAGGCACACACCAACATATTCAGTTTGATTTTTGATTTTTGTTTGTTTGTTTGTAGAGACTGGTCTTGTTATGTTGCTCAGGCTGGTCTCAAACTCCTGGGCACAAGTGATTCTCCGACCTCAGCCTCCCAAAGTGCTGGGATTACAAATGTGAGCCACTGTGCCCAACCCATATGTGGTTGTAAAGAAGTAAATGAAAGCATAGTGTAGAATAATACATGATTTTCAAGGAGATGGTGCAGATACAGTGCAGAATAATACACGATTCTCAGGGAATGAAGCACACATAATATAATGTCACATGTGGTCAACAGGGAGATGACAGAGTGGAGCATCACACGTGACCTTCATGGAATTGAGGCACACCTAGGGTAGCACCATATATGATTATCAGTAAAACAACACATAGTGTAGAATCCTAAGTGGTAATCAAAAAGACAGTATATAGCCACAACATCATATATGTTAATCACAAAGATTTTTGAGAAGCATATGTGGTTATAAAGGAAATGGTAGCATCACTGATGCCAGTCAAGTTGACAAGGTCAACGTAGTGTAGCATCATACATAATCATTGGGGAGATGACCCAGAATACAGCATCATCTATAGATATTAAGGAGATGACAAAGACCTCATATACATGTATATCTGGTTATCACGAAAGTGACACAGACTTTGTACAACATCACATGTGGTTATCAAAAATACGATATGGCTGGGTGCAGTGGCTCATGCCTGTAATCCCAGCATTTTGGGAGTCCAAGGCAAGAGGATTGCCTGAGTCCAGGGGTTTGAGACCAGCCTGCGCAACTTGGCAAGATCTCATCTCTACAATAAATCAAAAAATTAGCCAGGCATGGTGGCACACACCTGTAGTCCCAGCTACTCAGGAGGCTGAGGCAGAAGGATCGTCTGAGTCTAGCAGGCCAAGACTGCAGTGACCGTGAGAGTGCCACTGGCCACTGCACTCCAGCCTGGGTGACAGCAAGACTCTGACAAAGGAAAGAAAAAGAGAGAGAGAGAGAGAGGAAAGAAAGAAAGGAAGGAAGGAAGGAAGGAAGGAAGGAAGGAAGGAAGGAAGGAAGGAAGGCAGGCAGGCAAGCAATATGGCCATACTGCAGTGACATTCATGATTACCACATAGATGAGCCATAGTTTTGATCACAGCTGGTCATCAAAGAGATGACTTATAGTGTAGAATCATGCATGTTTATCAAGCAAAGCATAAATCCCTCCACAGATTAAATGTATAAACTGATTACCTACCATCAGCTGAAGCAGTTGCAATAAGTTTTCCAGCATAATCAAAGCAACTGTCTAGTATTTCATCATCATGCCCCCTTAATGTTGCCACACATTTTCCATTTGTAGCATCCCACAGCTGCAATTAAAACAAAACAAAAAGCCTATGATTGCCCATCTAGAGTGTGAAGATGGCCAGAGGTCTTCATGACATGCTTATGGCTGGTTAAATCACTATGACAAAATCATTTGTATAATTTTCATATATTCTGGTTTTTTTTACCTTGATTCACTACCAGAGATCACAGACAACCATATAGCAAGGCACAACTTGGTCACAGAGAAGACCAAAGTCAGATATCTGAAATCTGCCACTGCATTAAGAAAAAGGAAAAAAATATCAAAGTGTATGCTTTACTGGCTGGAGTGGAAGTGTTCTCTTTTTATAGGAAGGACATCAAATGGTTAAGAGCTTGATCTAAAACTACAATACTAGAAAATGAAAAGTACACTGTAAGATGATAATACATTTGATATATAATTAGATAAGAAATCCAGAGCACCATCTCTTAATAATCATTTTTTTTTAAGTGCAGAAATTTAGGGGCAGGGAGAAAAGTCCTTAGTGTTATTTTAAGATGGTGGCTTATTTTTTCTTTTCTCATCAATGTTTTAACTTTCTTAGAAAACAGCTTTCTGGCCGGGTGCAGTGGCTCATGCCCATAATCCCAGCACTTTGGGAGGCCGAGGGGAGAGGATTGCCTGAGCCCATGGGTTTGAAACCAGCCTGGACAACTTGGCGAGACCTCATCTCTATGATTAAAAAGAAAAAAAAAAAAGCTGGGCATGGTGACGTGTGCCTGTAGTTCCAGCTACTTGGAAAGCTGAGGTGGAAGGATCACCTGAGCCCAGCAGATCAAGGCTGCTGTGGCCATGAGCGTGCCACTGCACCCCAGCCAGGTTGACAGAGTGAGATTCCAGCTGGAAAAAAAAATGGAGACTTTTTGAGGATCACTTTAACTGAAATTTAATAAATGAAAAGTGGACATTAAACAAAAATAAAGTGACCTTTCAAATAAGATCTTCAATACATTTGAATTAAAATCGCTTTATTCCAACATAACTTCTTCAACCTTGGAAAATCTTAAACTTGAAATTTAAAATTACCAATTATTATTTGTAAATTAATACTTAATTTTATATCACCTTTGAAATGTGTTAATGTTACAATAAACATCTGACACAGTAATGAATATAGACATAATACAAAGTTGTTTTTTTTAGCTCACCATGCAGGTTCTGTCCACAGAACCAGTTAATATTAGAGAACAATCCCAATTGAATAAGGCACCACTGATCTCAGCACAATGACCAATTAAGGTATATACTTTCCTGAAAAATGGAAATTATTAAAATCAGTAAAAAGATATCTTCAGAATACGCAAGCAATGAGGTCAAGTCCATCTGTGTAAGCTAACCTAAATTTTTTAATAAATAATATATTTGATCACTAAATAAAGATGGCTCCATTATAGCTCAAAAAGTTCCTTTTATATAATAATTTCCTTTTTAACAAAAATATACTTATATATATTCACGATAACATTACTTAAGGCAATACTTCAAAAAGGAATGGGTAACAAATATTAAGGAAGTATTCTTGGACCAGATGCTTGGACCCTGATTGTTCAGAAACTGCACGTAAAATGACTGAAAGGCCCTTCCTTCTCTCTCATTCCTTGTTGCATACATCTTGGCAGGTACCTCTGGAAATTAGCCCCTCTATCAAATTGCAGACAAATCCAAGAGTTGAGATTTTCAACACAAATGTGCTAATCTTGTTAACTTCCTAGCTTCTAGGACCAAAAAATTCATTAGAAAGTAAATTAAAGTTCTTGAACTAAATTAAATTTGGGAAATTAACTGTGAGTTTTACTTATTCATGATATTCATGCCTACCATAATGACAAAACATTGAAATTTGATTATACAGTACACGAAATAAATAATAGCTATATAACCAGAATTTTACTAGAATTCTCCATTTATGTCTGTTTGGCATTATTGGTTCAGAATTCAAAAAAAAAATTCTTACGGAACAGAAATATCATTAAAGAATGAATTAATTAATGTTTTCTTTTTTTTCTTAATTCATGTTTTCAATGTGTCCTATTTTAATGGAATCCAAAGCTCAGTTAGTAGATATAAGCCTACACTGATAAATAACAGAGTATCTTCTTAACCCCATGATCCAAGTTTTAAAAAAAAAATCTCAAGAGTTAAGAATTACCTTCCAGTTTGAGGGTCCCACACTATCACTGCATGATCAAAAGATCCCGTTATGATTCTGTCTCCTGAGGTGTTAAATGACAAGGAGATTATTTCAGCAGAATGTCCCTAGAAAAAGAGCAGATATTGTCATGTATGCCTACAGATAAAACAAATGCTGCAAGAATACAACATAATAGTCTAAAGGAAAATGCTACAGAGGGAGAGATCAGTGCTTGTTGGGATACGGATGGGGAATCCTTCAAATGGGCACCAGGTTTCTTTGGGTGATGAAAATGTGGGAGTTTTGTTGTTTATTTTGCTTTTTTTTTTTTTTAAGTTGGAGTCTCACTCTGTTGCCCAGGCTGAAGTGCAATGGCACACACGTGGTCACTCCAGCATCAACCTGTTGGGCTCAAATGATCCTTCCGCCTCAACCTTCAAAGTCGCCGGAACTACAGGCGTGCGCTACCATGCCCAGCTAATTTTTTAATTTATTGTAGAGATGAGGTCTCACCAAGTTGCCTAGGCTGTTCTTGAACCCATGGCCCAGGCAATCCTCTCACCTCAGCCTACTAAAGTTGTGGGATTACAGCCTTGAGCCACTGTGCCTAGCTAAAACAAGATTTTGATGATGACTGCACAAGTTTATTAAAAAATCACTTAACGTTAGTTCACTTTAATTCAATAATGCTTTAAAAAAAATGAAGAGGCCATGTCTTGGGAAATCAGAGGGGTTCTTTCACATTGACTTGGAAACACTAAAAAAAAAATGTGTACTTTATGGGCCAATAATAGATAGTATGCAAAAGAAAAAGTATATGGAATAAAGTTAATTACTTTAAAAAAGAAAATTCTTAAGATAATTTGACACGAAATATGTTAGTAAGTTCCTGAATTTGGCCTGGCTTTCACCTGGTTTCAGTCCAGCACTGATGAATCAAACTGTGAAACAATGGGAAGAAACCCCTCTCTACAGTAGATTCTGGAACTCTGAGAAGGGGATCCTGCTTGAAGTCTGTATAGCCTTCATTTCCCAAATTGTTTTAGTAAATTAACATAATTGTAACTTTAAATAATGTAAATAATTTTAAAATATTTACATATTAATTTTCTGGTTGATTCCAAAAGACAAAAATGAAACATAGTTGAACATTCGTTCAAAACAAATGAACTCTGGCTCAGACAGGTGTGCTGAGCAGGACTCATTTTGTCAAATGCTCTTAGGCATGCCAGTAAAAAGAATAACTTTACTTGAAACTGTAGGTACTAGCAAGGGTATTTCCCTTCACATTTGCCTAAAGGAAGAAGCAGTAATGCTGATAAGAAATGATGAGATCTGAGAACATGAAGAGTATACTTATATTAATAATTCTAGGTACTCAGATGTAAGAAAGAAAAGTCCTTAATGTTATTTTAAAATGGTGACTTATTTTTTCTTTTCTAGTCAGTGTTTTAGCTTTCTTAAAAAGCAGCTTTCTGGCCAGGTATGGTGGTTCACACCTATAATCCCAGCACTTTGAGAGGCCGAGGTGAGAGAATTGCCTGAGCCCATGGGTTTGAGATCAGCCTGGGCAACTTGGTGAGACCTTATCTCTATAATAAATTAAAAAATTAGCTGGGTGTGGTGGCATGCACCTGTCATTCTGCCTACTTGGAAGGCTGAGGCAGAAGAATTGCCTGAACCCAGCAGGTCAAGGCCGTGGTGGTCGTGAGCATGCTACTGCACTCCAACCTGGGTGACAGAGTGAGACTCCAACTCAAAAAAACAAAAAAAGAAAAAAGCTTTCTTAGGAAAAGAATCCTGTTTTTTAAAATCCACTTATAATTTTGAAAGAATTTAAAAACCTGGATTTCCCATCCAGCTGTTTCCACTGATTACAACACAGAATCACCCTATTTTTGTTGTAATGACTTGGGCTAGCATAGACTGGAGGGTGGCAGGTCATAGAGATGTGTGGTGGTGACAGAAAAGAGCATGCCCCATCAGCATTCACTCTGTGGAAGGTGCCCTTTGACCTTTCCCCTCTAGTCACTTGCCTCTTGTCATTTCAGACTGAAATGACTATGTGCTACAAGAGGATTTTAAGACCAGAGAGTAGAGGAGAGAGTGTTCATAGTCACTCCTTTAAGAAATCTTCTGGTACGGTTCTCTAGTTTTGCCTCTTCCAAAAAGTGCCTTCACCTACTTTCCTTCTAGCCAGAAAGATGGCCATAAAATGGTTCTAAGGAATAGTTTGTATGATTTGCAGAATAAACTTAGTCAAATAAAAAAATATCCCCACTCAAGTATTATGAAATAGCCAGCAAACCAGTTGGAACATTCCTCCACTACAGTTTGAAAAACAATAGTTCAAAAACATCTAACTTACAGCTTATTTTGTAACAAAAATGCAAATAAAAATGAACATAAATAATAGGATTATTAACATACTGCTAAAGTGAAAACTTCCTCTCCAGTCTGAATGTCCCACAATTTAGTTGTTGTATCCATACTTCCAGTAGCCACCAACGTGCTTTGAGGGTTAAATGATAAACACACCTAAATTACATAAGGTGAAAGAAATTTTAGAATGAGTTTCAAATTAAGTATATATGAAAGAGCCTCAAGATGCAATTACCTTAGCAGATTCAGTTTAACTTTTTGTACAAGTACACAACAAAACACCAAATAGGAGTAACCTGCTATTTCCCGTGTTGAATCCTAAAGAAATCTCCTCTTAAAAAGAGGCTGCTTGCTCGCCCACATCATCCAGCTCAAGCTCTGAGGGACACTGGCTTCCTTTGCCATCTCCAGGCCACAGAAGAACAAGAACCAAAGCAAAGCTCATCTCCTTTAAGGTATGTTCTATCTGGCTCTCATTCTCCTTGTTGCTGTCATCACAATCCTTCCAATCACTATCCCTCATTCATTAAGAATTTTGGTTACTAGCTCACAGTCTCAATGCCAAGTCCTAGGTGGTCTTCATATGAGTAATTCATTCAGTAACCCCCATACCCATGCCTCTGGACTCCTCTTCAGTAATATTTTCCATGGCCAGACTCTGGACCTCAGCATCACCTTCTCTAGAAGACTCACCAACAATTCACCAATCTATCAGTTTTTTATCTTCCATCCCACTCCCTTCCTCAGGATATCTCCCATGTCACGGAGACCCCTGCCTTTTTTACTGGTCCATCATCCTCATTCAACTGACACCCTGGAAGCATCACCCCTGCCAGTATCCTCAGCACTCTTAGTCCCCATCTTTCAGATGTACTCTCCACACAAACTCCTAACATTAACTGTTAACAGGCCAGGATTTTATTCAATCATCTGCCCTCCCTGTCTCATCACTAAGCCAAGACAGCTTAAGAAAACTGCACAGAAGATTGCAAGTGTTGCGTATGCATGCCCCTGCCCTCAAGAGAATCCTTAGCACCATTTCCTACTTTGTTTAAGATGCCTCTGACTCAGTGCGTTCACCCATTCCCCACTCTTGCTCCCTGCACTTCCATCTTTACCTCTTTCTTAACAGAGAACCTGACCTCCTCCTACTTCCCTAGAAAAATTTACCTATCAGGTGTGAACTCGCTCACCTGGACCTTCCTTTTCATCCCTTCAGTCTCAGGTGCAGAGGGGTCCCTTCACCCATTCTAAAACCCCCTTCCTAGTGGTCTGTAAATATGCTTGAGTTTCTCCTATATAAAATCAATTCCTCCCTTGACTCTATGTACCCCTTCTAACCAACTTTTCCTCCTTTGTAACCAAATTCATTGAAAAAATAGTCCACTCTCACTTTTTGCCCATCCTCCTTTCACTCTTCAACTCCACTGAAACCACCCTGGCTAAATGTCCAATCTAAGAGGCCTGGTCAGTTATTCCAGAAACCTCCCTGATGCCTCCCTGATGCTTGATTCCTTTGTTCTCCATAGTTCCTTCATTCTTGACAGCTTTGATAGGTCTTTGCCTTTCTTCTCTTTCTTCCTGCTTTCTTTTTCTTTTTGTATCAGTTGAAGGTTTCTCTCTCCCATCTTCCTAAGAGTCTGTCAGGCTTCTCTCCATACTCTACCATTTCCTTTGGATAATTTCAATCCCTCATGGTTTCTTCTGTCACCCAGACATTAGTGACTAACATATCCACATCTCCTTCCCAGACCTCACTGCTCCATTCCAGCCCCAAAGAGCCAACTGCCAGTAGGGTGCCTCTGTTTGGATACAACTCAGGCAGCTTATATCAATCTAAGGCACAGTTATCATACACACGCAAACCTGCTTCTCTTCTTGTATGTTCAGAATTGGTAAGTGGCATGGCTAGTCGCTCAAGTACATGAAATCAGGGAATCCTTCTGCATTTCTACTTTTCTTCAAGCATCATAATTACTTGGTAACCAAGTTCTACTCCTTTAACATCTCTTTTATTTTCCTCATCTGCCTTAAAACAGGCCTTCTCACTTATCACTTGGACTGCAGCAAGATTCTCAACTGGTCTGTACCTTTGATCTTACCTCTCTCCCATTTCTCCTTTACACTGCCACAAAAATGATCTTCCCAACAAGCAAAGCTGATCATACCACCTTTCAGCTGAAAGCTTCAATAGTGTGGCATTACCTAGTGTGGCTCCCTGAGATCTCAAGCATGCACCACTGTTGCATACCTCCTCTGATCATGTGCCAGTGCTGCTCCCTCTGCCTGGAATGCACGTGGTGCCTGTCTGGGAAGTCTTTCCTGAACACTTCTCCCTAGCCAAGGAGACTTCACTGTTCTCTCTGTATCCTCACTGAACTCTCTGTCCTCTTCTGGTACACTTACAACATGCCTTTGAACTTAAGCACTGATGTTTTTACTCCCTTTACTAAACTGTACAATACCTGGAGGGCAAGACCTGTGTCTGATTCTACCCGGTACCCCAATCATAGAGACCATGGCTTCACACATAGTCAGTAATTAGTAAATACTCATTGGATGGATAAGGCTGGCTGTGAAAAATATGAATGTCTCCTAGGAACTATATATAAAGAAAATATTTCCAAAATTCCATAGGTGTCTGAAAAAGTGGCCACACTCTAAGGGCAAGAATTTTTGTTTAACTCTGGTCAAGTTACTTAAGTTCTCTATGCCTCAGTAGGCTAACCTGTAAAATGAGTAGATACCCACCTCTTAGAGTTGTTATGAGGCACAACTAAGATAATATATGTAAAGGGATTAAGACCGCCTCACAAACAGTAAGTGCCATCAAAGGGTCAGTTATGATTTTTACTGCAATATCCCCATGACTAGCAAAGTACCTTGAACGTAGCATGAGTTCTTGATGTACATACCATGAATTTTTAGGTTGAATATAAATAGATTTTATTCCTAAAATAAGCAGCCTGTTATTTTGTCTAAATTAGGATACATGACCCTTTCCCCATCTTCAGACACTTCCAAAAACATTTCCAAGCATCCTACAGTCTGTTCCTACGAGTTAAGTGTTGTTGTTTTTTTCTTTTCGAAGTTCCAGGTGCAGGTGTGGGCCCTATAATTTGAACACTGCGGGCATACTGGCTTTCACCAACATTTCACAAAGCTTCTCACCACTGTGGCTTGCATGGCCTTCCTCCACCCCATATGTTCTGTTTGTTTTTTCTGGTTCACAGCAGGTTTTATTTTTTTCCAGTGAATATTGAGGTTAAAAGGCCTGTGACACTTTGTCATCAATTTCCCCTCTTCATCTAATAATAGTTATTAGCACTTGCTTTTTAATGTTGGTTTTCAATTCAAAAAGCACTGAACTACATTTCCTTACAGCCAATTATGAAGAAACATGGCTATATTTTGTTTCCTGCTTTAGCTTTTTCTTTGACCCTTAAATGTCTCTATTATTTTTATACTACTACATTGGTGATTTCTACTTGTAGGTTCCCCTTTGGCAGTGGATTCCACTTAAAAGTAACTTAAAATTTTAACAAGTGGATTTCTGGGGCAAGATGACAATAGAACCAGTCAGACTGTGTGAGTCTCTGCATGGGTGAGTGTGCATAAAGACAAATCTGTGTGCATGTGTGTGTGCATGTTTGTGTGCAAGTGGGTAAAGAGAGACCCAAGATCAAGCACTGCAGAAGTAACTGCAATGTACCACTGCAATTTACCACTGCTCTGAATTCGGTACCCCTGTTGTGCAGGAACATCTGCCACTCTGAGAGCATCTCTTGGGAAAATGCAGCAGAGACTGACCATCTCTTGGCACTTGGCACTTGGTCTGACCTCACCAACTGAGGCAACAGCCCAGGCACTGGCAGTGGGGACCATGGAGAAAAGCACAGGGAGGAAATCTGAAGCTGAGCCCAGCTGGAGGAGAAACCATGGGCCGATGCCATTTTCTTTGTCACAGAAGTGGGCAGAGATGTGCTCCAGCTTGCTTATTACTGAGCAGCCTGCATCCTGAGACCAAGGGGCAATCTCTGCACTTCTCTGGGATTGGCCATTTTTGGCCCTGAGAGAATACTTCAAGTGCACAATACCAGAGAGACAGCACTGGCTTGGGAACCCAGACATCCCACCATCAGCACTGGACTATTCACAGATGCATGCAATCGGAGTGGGAGACCTACCAGCAGATGAGTAGAGATGAGTCTTGATTTGATCCAGTCCCCTTCCCCCAGCAGCTCATGGGGCATCTGACCCATGTGAAGAGAGGCCTGATTAGCCCACATTGAGAGCAGAAAGGAAGGTCTAGAGACCAGAGTCTGCTCCCTCCCATGGTGAGCCAAAAGCAGCAGCGTTTAGGACATACCAGTAAAAAGAAAGAAGGAAAGACAGGAACCAGAGACAGCCACAAGAGAGAGTTCAGGAATCACAAAAGTGTTCGTTGTTGTTGTTGTTGTTGTTGTTGTTGTTGTTGTTTGGGGGTTTTTTGTTGTTGTTGTTGTGGTTTTGGTTTTGGTTTGGTTTTTTTTAGACTGATTATCTCTTTATATAGCTTTGCTTTCCCTCTCTTTTTTTGCATATAGGTATATTTGAGGTTGAGCATAACCTCAGCTTTGTTTGTTTGTTTGTTTATCTGTTTATTTACTTGCCTCCTTGTTTTCTCTTTTACTCTTCTTTCTCTTCATCTTCCTTTCTTCTCCCTTCTTTCTCTCTCCTTTCCTTCTCCCTTCTTTCTCTCTCCTTTCCTTTCTCTTATCTCATTTTGGTTTCAGGGGTTATACATACACTCCTACCATATGAGCATATTGTAAGGTGGTGGAAAGAAGGCTCCAGGGGGCCCAAGCCCCAGTCAGTGGATACTGCAATCTGCTGGTAGCTTCAGAACCATACCACCCCCATTACACCTCAATCAAATCTCAAAACTGCAAAAAGACAGCACAGCCCCCCACCCCAGCCCTGCTTTAAAATTGAACAAATTCAGAGAGTCTCTACTAAGGAAGACTAGAGGGTTGAGCAAACAGAAGTGAAAACTATTCCCTCTCTCACTGAACAACAGAATTAAAGAGGACAAAAAGGGAGAATCCATCATAAATGGAGAAGAATCCACAAAAGAACACAGGTACCTACTTAGGAACTCAAACAGTGACTCAGAA